GCATCTCTCTGCAGGGAGATCAGCAAGAGGAGAACAACAGGCAGCAGCTCAGGAAATCAGAGTCAGAGGTGGAGGTGAGTGTGGCAGTGGCCATGCCCAGGGCTGGTCTTTGCTCCCCAGCCAGCAGTGCCTACAGCTGGATGGGGACTCAGCTGGAAGGTGGTCCTGCATCCCCACACCACCAGAGCAGTGGGTCTCAGCCTCCCCTGTCCCAGCAGGAGGCTGCTGCCATCATCGCTCAGCGGCCCGACAACCCCCGGGACTTCTTCAAGCAGCAGGAGCGGGTGGCATCGGGCAGCTGCGATGCCATCTCGCCGGGCAGCCACAGGACAGGTGAGGGGCTGGGGGGCTGGAACTGTGGGCACTGGGGGGGCACGGAGAGATGCAGGGTGGGGGGGAACTGCAGAGCAGGTGAGTGCAGTGCCACCAGGGCTCCCTGTAGCTCAGCAGGTCACAGCAAGATCTGGGGAAGGCCAGGGCTGTACTGTGGGGAAGGGGTGTCCTCTCTGCCCTCCCTGGCACCGTGGGTGCTGGGGGTACAAGGGAGTTGTCCTGATATGTTATGCCACCATCACCACCACTGCCACCACAAACCTCATGTGGCCCCCACTGCTGGGGCAGCTTGGCAGGGGCTGGATGCTGGGGTGTGTTCAGCAAGGGGGGGGCTCTCATCCTGCTCCTGGCTGGGTATCATCAACTCACCCATCATGGCACCGTGCCGGCCCCTCACAGGCAGCGTGGCCACTGTGGCAGGGCTGGGCACCTGGAGGTCTGGGGATGGCTTGGGAAGAAAACTCATCCCACCCGGACAGCTGAAAAAGGCAGGAGTGACTGGGGCAGTTGTGGGGCACCTGGCTGGTAGGAGTGCTCCATGGGCAGGTTGGTCTGCCCCACAGTTTGGAGATCCAGTCCTGGAACTCTTGTTGCAGCTCTAGGACAAGGGCTGGCTGTCCTGGTGGGCACCTCCACTGGTGGAACCATGTCATGGGGCTGTGCTGGGAGTTGTGCAGGGGTACTGTGCTGTGGGTCTGTGCTGGGGGCTGACCTGTGATGTCTGTTGTTGCTGTGGGGTTGTGCCATGGGTTGTGCCATGGGCTGTGCCATTGGCTGTGCTGTGGGGCAGTGCCTCAGGGCTGTGCTGTGGGCTGTGTGTTGGGGCTGTGCCGTGGGTTGTGCTGTGGGGCCATGCTGTGCCTGAGCAGATAGTTGGTGCCATGGCCATGTTCCCACCTAGCCAGGCAGCATTGCCTCTCATCCTTCTCTCCTGTTGTCTTTTCATCCTCTTGTCCTGCCATCCTCCTGCCCCACTGTCGATGTTACCTCCTGTCCCACTGTCCTCCCATCCCCGTGCTCCAGTGACCTGGTCCCACCGCGGCTGCGCTGAGCAGGGACTGACCCATCTCTTTGATCTCTCTCTCTCTCTCCGTCCGTCCGTCTGTCTGTCTTTCTCTCGGCAGGTCGTCTGCACTGTCCTTTCATAAAGACAGCTGACAGTGGGCCGCCTTCTTCCTCCTCCTCCTCATCCTCCCCCCCACGGACCCCCTTCCCCTATATCACCTGCCACCGCACCCCAAACCTCTCCTCTTTCTTCCCATGTAGGTAGCTGGGAGCCCCCAGGCACGCAGCTCTGGGGGGCCGAGCTGTGGGCAGCTGCCCCACAGCCCACCCCAGCCCCACGGCACACTGGAGCGACAGCAGAGGCAGTGACCCTCCTGTGGGCACCATGAGGGGGCTGCACACCCAGGCAGGGGGTGCGCCTGCATCCACAGGCACCCTGCACACCTCATCTGGGACCAGCCCCATGGTGGGCTCTTTGCCCCTGGGGTAGGGGGGATACAAAAGGCTGTGCCCATGGGGCAGGTTGTGCCTGTGGTACAGGGAGGGGACATTGGGCAGGATGCGTCTGTGGGACAGATGGGGACTGGGCAGAGCTGTGGCCAGGGAGGTGATGCTCTCCTGTGGTATGAAGTGGGCTGTGCCTGTGGGACAGATGGGGACTGGGCAGAGCTGTGCCCAAGGAGGTGATTCTCTGCCATGGGATGAAGCTGGCTGTGCCCATGGGATAGAGAGACACAGGGCAGGCTCTGCAGGCAGAAGGGGACAGGACAGACTGTGCCCTGGACCGTGCAGGACAGCACTCATGGAGCAGTGCAAGTTGGAAAAGACTGTGTCAAGGAGCATGTGGGGCTGTGCCTGTGGGGCAGAAGGGGACAGACAGTGCCTGGGGCCATGGGGGGGGCTGTGTGCATCCCCGAGCTGGGGTAAGCAAGACACAGGATTGTGCCTGCAAAGGTGAGGCTGTGCCAGGGCCCATCTGGGTGATGTGTGGGCAGGGCCAGCATGCACCACGGCAGGTGTGGGGCTGCCCATCCCAGTCCCCAGCAGGTGTGGGGGCTACAGCTGTGTGGGGCCGGTGGGGATGCCCAGAGTGAGACATGGT